AAAGAAAGAAAAAGATTAGAGTTCTCTATTTTGGTTATGTTGTCAGGAGGGGCCAGTGTTGGAAAAGGTGGAGGGTCAGAGAAAGAGAGGAAGACACCCAACAAGGTGACTGGACAGAGACTGTAACAATGGCTAGAGCATTATCAGAAGTTGTTGAGATGGCGCAGGACAGGATATCCTCTTGTTCATTGGGTCGCTGTGAGTTGTAGTCACCTTGATAGCACCTAACAAGAATAACAAGAGGCTTGGGGTTCTTCAGCTGTGACAAAACCACTGCATGTACAGCCATCACTTGAGCACTTCTGTATCATCTTTGTGGGATTTGAAGGGCTAGGGAATTAGGAAAAAACAGGCATGCTGTTGCTTTGTCATAAGTAATAAGGCCCTTTGTTGCTGACTCAAAGAGTTTCGTGTTGTCTGTCAACATCTTTGCAAATAAGGTAAAATTTCCCAGATCCTTTACCTTGTTGAACACGTTGCTGCAAATGACAGCAAATTGTGTTTCTAAGCACTGTCATCAATTTAAAAGTGTGCGGCAACTTGTAACAGACGTTTAGATCTATTAAGATCTATTTACATATATTAAATACAGAATGAACATTTGATAAATGGTAATTATTATAACTCCCCGCCCCCCCCCTCCCCAATATCAGCAGTGTAGAGGATAACTTAGAGGGAGGCTGGGGCTCAAGTCAGGGAAGCCAGTTGAGAAGCTCCAAGATTGTTAAAGTGTGGACCCAGGCATTGTCAGAAGGCCCAGAGTAAAGAGAAAGAGAGGCTGAACAGGAACTTGAAGAGGTGGACGTGACTGGAAGGGAGGGAAACAAAAAGAATCAAGGACTACCTCAGGATTTCTGGATTGGGAGGGTGGAGTGGTGGCTGTTAGTCAAAATGACATGCTTAAGAAGAAGAAATTGTAGCAGAAGATGAATAAAGAGAACGTGATGAGCTTGGGGACAGGAGCAGCCAGCCGGTAGAATGGGTAGGTAGTGGAGTGAGGGATCATTGGAGCATCACGAATGGAGAGAGAGCACTAAGCCACACCCACTGCCACTGACTCCGTTCAGACTGATGGTGACCTTGTATCATGTTTCTGAGACGATAAATGTTAATAGGAAAAGACTGGCTCATCCTTCTCCTGGGGAGTGACTGGTGGTTTTGAACACTTAACCTAGTATGCCACCAGGTCATACAGATGATTGTTAACTTACAGGAATGGAATAGATTGCACAGGACTTGCTTCTGAAATGTCTTTGAATTGCCAGTGCAGCTAATAGTTGACTGATGCAGTAGCGAGACAATGAATAAGGATGCCAGAAAAAGAATGGACGCCTTTGAGCTGTGATGTTGGAGAAGAGCACAGAGCATCTCATGAACAGCCAAGAGAACGAACAGATAGATTATATATGTCTTGGAGAGGGTGCAGCTGGAATGCTCTTTGGAAGCAAGAATGATGAGACTTCACCTCACATATTTTGGACATGTTGCTAGGAGAGGCTATTCTTTTTTTTTTTAACTCTTTTTTAAAAAAAATTAATTTTAATGAAAGTTTACAGA